CAGAATGGAGTTAGAACTTGTTCAGAACCATCATTATCACTTGTGGTCCCAGATCCCCCGATGTGTTCCTCCATGAGCTTCCCAAGCACAGTAAGTTGTTCCTTTTGAGGAAGGTTTTATTTTTTTAATTTTTTTTTTCTCTCTTCCCTCTGGTTTCATGTCATTTAAACAATTTGGGTTGCTGGGAAGGCACACCTGGATTTGGAGGCTGTCCCTCCCAAGGGCCACACACGTGACAGCAGTTTGCTCTTCCTCAGAATGAGCTTTGCTGCATCACACATTCCACTCCCAACACCCAATATTTGGAATTCAGTGTGGGATAGATAAGCTGAGCTTTGCTTTAATAAACCTCACAACTCCCAGAGTGTGAAACTCCTGGCAGTTTCTGACAAGGGTGCAAACTCCGGGCTGTTACCTTATTAAAATCAAGATCTGGTGGGTGCAGGGGGGGTCTAGTGGAAGAACATCCCTGATGGAGCAGGAAGGGGGATCAGCAGATATTGAGATAGAACCATGTGTCCACTGGGCTGGACAGTTGAGATAAATTAACTAAAAATGCTCATTCTTCCAATTATTTCCTCTTTGGTCTTGTCCTTGCTCAGGGAATTTTATAAGTTGGTTTGAGTGTGATGGTGCAGAGTCTAACACAGGTAGGCCTGACCAAACAGGACTAACTTTGCAGGACTTAAACCACTGTGTTTCCTCTTACACATTGAGCTCATCTACCTAATTAGTTCTTTGGCTATAATTGTGCCTTGTCCTTATGTGTGTTTAATGTATGTTTTGTCAATAAGGGCTTTTCTCCATAGAATTATTCCTGGTGTGGCATGTCCAGAGCACAGACCCATGGGTTTAAGATCATTTCTTAAATGACAGGACAAGGGCTGATGGTTTTAAACCAAAGGAGGGTTGATTAAAGTTAGAACTAAGGAATAAATTTTACAATGAGAGTGGTGAAACAACCATCAGCCTTTGAATAACTGGGCTTTGAACAACCTGGTTTAGTGGAAGGTGACCCTGCCCATGGCAGGGGTTGGAATGAGGTGATTTTTAAGGTCCAGTCCGGGCCATTCCATGATTCTATGAACTCAGTTATACAGAAACATCATGTGCTTATAATGTTTAAGGAAGGATATCAAAGACCACCACAGTCTGAAGAGAACCAAGGGCATGATGAGGAGATGGAGGCTGGAATAAATCTTGGGGAATAGAAATGATCTTTGGTTGTCAGGACATTCATTAGCATTCCTTTATTTAGCAGCAGAATCGTAGCTTAGAGATAATTTTCCAAAAAAAAAATAAAAAATGGAGTGTTATTTAAAGAATCCATCCAGCCCAAATCTATGAGTTGACACCTGTCACTATAAAAGCAGTACAGAGGGTACCAGTTCTCCTTGAGAGATGAACCTCCCTCCTATTAAATACAGGAAAATTTCATATCCCACCTAAAACCTCCCCTCTTTCAGCTTGAATCTGTTCTCCTTTGTCCTGTCACTGCTCTTGGAAAAGGGCCTTCTCCATCTTTCTTGTTGGCTCCTTCAGGCACTGAAGGTCACAGTTAGGTCACCTCAAAGCCTTCTCTTCTCCAGGCTGAACAATCCCAATTCTCCCAGCCTTTCCTCACAGCAGAGGTGCCCCATCCCTCTGATCATCTTGGTGCCTCCTCTGGACTCTCTCCAGCAGCTCCATGTCCTCCCTGTGCTGAGACCCCAGAGCTCAGGGGGTTTAAAGCTCTGCTGTAGGTGGTGGACAAGGTGGGGAGTGTCTCTTCCTCAAAAAACTGTAACAGAAAGAGAATCCTGGGAAGGATGGATGGAAATCTCATCCAGGAGTCCTGAAATGCTGGTTCTGAGACTGCTTGTGAATAGTCCTGGAGCTGATTCCTCCCTGTCCATGAAGGACATCTCTGTGAAGCAGAGCCTGGTCTGTCCTAGGGGAAGATTCCAGTGGCCACAGGCTGGAGACACTTGTCCATTGCTGGCTGCTTGGAATGGTGGGATGGGTAATGGAATATGTTAATGGTGCTGTAACCCATCTGCTCCTTGTCCTCTGGACTTCTTTGGTGTAATCCCATCTATGACTGATGGTAAAACCCTCAAATCAACCATTTTGAGCCATCAAAGGAGAATAATGGTTGCAGGAGACCCTCCCTGTCCAGCCTGATTATATTTAGCAATGAGAGACTTAATCTAAGGCAAACTGAACACGAATTTGGAGCCTTTCCATGTGCTCCAGTGAGGATTCTCTGCTTTCACACTGGTGTAAATGAGATCAAAATCAGAGCTTGATCTGCCCTGGTGGAAGATTCCAATGGCCACAGGTCAGAGGCTCGCCCATTGCTGGCTGCTTGGAATGGTGGGATGGGTAATGGAATATGTTAATGGTGCTGTAACCCATCTGCTCCTTGTCCTCTGGACTTCTTTGGTGTAATCCCATCTAGGACTGATGGTAAAACCCACAAATCAACCATTTTGAACCATCAAAGGAAAATAATGGTTGCAGGAGACCCTCCCTGTCCAGCCTGATTATATTTAACAATGAGAGACTTAATCTAAGGCAAACTGAGCACGAATCTGGAGCCTTTCCATGTGCTCCAGTGAGGATTCTCTGCTTTCACACTGGTGTAAATGAGATCAAAATCTGGCTGCCTCTCCAAGATGGCCGGAGAGAGTGTGAATGAAATCCCTGGGCAAAAATAGAGACTCGCTTCAGCAACGAGCCCCCCTGGCTGGCAAGACTCGTCAGGGAACTGGAGCTACTGAAAAATGCTGCAGACAGAAAATGAATTAGAGGAGGAAAAAAAAAGTGAAAATGAGCTGGCAGAATCTTTAGGTGACTCATCAGGTGCATCTTGTAAAGTCTCTTTCTGAGAAGTAATGAAATCGCGTGTTCTAACAATATTTGCACTGCAGTGGGAAAAGGCATAAATATTGGGATCAATTAATGAAATTAGATAATTTGACCAAAAAAGCCCTGGAGCTGGCTGGGAAACCATCCCTCTTCCTTTTTGCTTGTGTCAGTGCTTGCTGTTGGAGAGGAAAATCCCGTGGTTTCGTTGCACGTTGAGGAGAGGCGAGTTCTGGGCAGCCACTGGGATACATTGGGAATTCACCTGCACCTCCAGGAGTTCCACCTTCACCCCATGGAAGTTCTCAGGCAGGTGCAGAAAAGCCCTGGTAGCTGTCTGGGTGTGCAGTCCCCCACCCCTGGGATTTTCGGATCGGTGAGGGTTGGATCCATCTTGTCTCTGTGTCTCTTCATGTCCTTCCAACCTCCGCTTTCCGACTGAAAAATGGGGAATAATGGTTTTCTTCAAAAAGGGAATTTTTCCTCAGGAAAAAGCCTGTGGATATGCGACCTTTAGATATTCCAGTAACTCGTTGATCATGATGGAGTTCATCACAGAGCTTCAGTTCCGGGGTGTGAGATGAATTTGGAGTGAAACATTGGGGTGGCTGCTATCAATGGGTCAAATTATGCTATTTGTAATAGAGCAATTATGCTGTTTTTAATGCATTAATTACTTTATTCCAACAGTATTTATATTTGGGGAAGGCACTAAACCTCAGGTGAAGAACGGGGCTTAATTAATCCCCTAAAAATGATGAGACCTGGAGCGTGGGCATCTATTGCGGAATATAATCCCGGGCACTTGGGTCGGGATTTTGGTGGGTAATCGTGAGCTCCCCGAGCCAAAAAGAGCCATCACCATCTTCAGCTTTATCAGCAGCAAGAGCAGAACCCATCAGGTTATCCTACCCTTGGATTGGCTCCGGGACAATTGTTGTTGGAATAATTTGTCTGGTTTCTGGCGTCCTCGACTCAAGAGGATGTTGACAAATTGGAAAGATGTAAAAGAGCCACGAGGGTGGTTAAAAGATTGGCAAACGTGCCTTGCCAAGGGAACAGCTTCTGGCTCGCAGCGATTTTGTGTTTTTTTTCCTATAAATGGAGGTTAAAGGGTGGTTTTAGCAGCTCCAAGTACCTGTGGGAAGAGCAAAAATAGACGGTGGTTGTCAGACAGAGGTGGAACACCCGCCGGTGCCGGGGAGATGAAGCCAGGCTTGAGCTGAACAGAACAGTTTTTAAGAGCAAAACTGATGATCTGGTGTGATGTTTTATGGGAGTCCTGGTTTTTTCATCCATCTCTGGAATTATCTGTTGTGGTATTTTTGAGCCCTGGCTTTTCGTCCGTGTCTAGAATCGCATACATCAACATTCATTTGATTTTGGAGGTTTTAATTTGCATTTCGGTGTAACTCTTGGAGGAAAACCCTCTGCCTTTATTAACTGTGGGTTTGTGTGTATTCCAGAGCATCTCTTGGTCTTGTGGGTCTCCTCATTAGCCCTACCTGCACCTCATGTTTCTTCCTCAGTGCTCATCGATCTCTGTGATCTGAGCTGGATCTGAGTATTTTGGCGCTGTCAGGAAGCAACAGGCAGAGTTAAAATGAGATATTTTTTTTTCCTCTCCACGAGCATTTTTCAGTGTGTTTTCCCTGCAAAAAAAAAAAAAAAAAAGAAAACTATCACTGCTTATTCTGTTTATTCTAAACCCAGCTTTTATTTGAAGAGATCCCTGCAGGGATTGCTCCACCTTTGTTCCCTGGAAGCCTCGATTTCCGCAGGAAGCTCATCCGAGGAGGGGCTGTGCTAAATTTACCTTGAGACCTACGTGTGGCAGAGGATTTTCGATTTTGTAAAGCTCAGCTCAAGAGTGTGAGGTCTGGCTGTTGTTGTTCTTTCTTACCAACACAATTCAATACAAATAAAACATTGTCTCTGCCTTGCTGGTCTCGCTGTCCACGCAGATTCGAGGAGCTCGGGGCGTGTAAAGGATCTTTAAATACATCCTGCAAGGATGCAGAAAACGAGTGTTTTGTACCAATCCCTCACATTCATTTACTCCAGCAGCTAAAAGGTGAATCTTTGGGGTTTGGGATAAAACTACACTTTAATTTTTTTTTTAATTTAATATTCTCTTTTATTTTTCTAGCTGTGGGGAGCTCAAAAAATCAAACAGGTAATACACTTTTTTTAATATTTCCTTGTTATTTTCAGCTCTTACTGCTTTTCCCTCTTTTCCCTAAGCTTTTCCCCTTTTTCCTCTTCTCTGTTATTCCCTTTGCCAGTTGCTGTTTTGCCTTGCCATGGAAATGTAAATGCAGAGAACACTCTGCCACCAAAGAGCCGGAGTTGGTTTTTTTTTTTATAAATATATTTATATATTTTGATGTCTTCATTTTCTCCTTCCTGTCTAGTCAAGAGATTTCTTGTCTCCAGTCTTTTGAAAATAGTTTGACAGTTCTTTGGGAAGGCTCGTGGCTGTGCCTTCCTCCTCTGCGGTCCTGGATCCTTTGGGAATTGATTTTTCATCCCCAGCCATTTAATGCCAGTGCAGCATCCTGGGCTCGTTGGAAAATTTGGGTAAAAAATGGGTCAAATGAGCCAGATTTAGGATTTCCATGGAATTTGGGCTGTCCAGAGCCACCTGAGTTGGCTGAGGAGCTGTGGATATCCGTAAAAGTCAGATTATCTGGCAAATCTGAATCCTGTGTGTGATTTTATTTGCATGTCCCTTATGGTGACATCTAAAGTGGGTCATACCTGTGTGGTTTTATCCCATCTCATCCTGGAGAAGCATTTCAGGCTTCCTACAACACCTGGAGATGTGGGTGATGTTCCTCAGACTGAATCCACACCTGGAGATGTGGAAGATGTTCCTCAGACTGAATCCAGACCTGCAGATGGGGAACATGTTCCTCAGACTGATTGGGAACATGTTCCTCAGACTAAATCCAGACCTGCAGGTGGGAAAGATATTCCTTGGACTGAATCCACACCTGCAGGTGTGGGAGATGTTCCTCAGACTGAATCCCCACCTGGAGATGTGGGAGATGTTCCTCAGGCTGAATCCACACCTACAGGTGTAGGAGATGTTTCTCAAACTGAATCCACATCTGCAGGTGGGAAAGATGTTCCTCAGAATAAAGTGATTTATATCCTCATCCCCTCCTGAACCAACATCCCTGCCCATCCCTCTGCCACACCGAGGGCTTTTCCCATCTTTCCTGTGGCAGAGGTTCAGCCAGGACATTGATCTGCACCTCAGTGGAGATGCTGAAAACAGGCAGGGCCAGAAAATAGTTTTCCTTTTCCCTCCCCTTTTCCCTGCTGGGGGTTAAGGTACAGCAGTGGGTGGCCTTTAGGGACATTATAGAACCAAGAAAGAGCCACTCTTTGTATTTCAGGTTAAGTTATTTACTTCTAAGTGATTAATTTGTGCTAAATTATTACAGGCCATCATCCATCCCGACACAAACGAGACCATCTTCATGCCTTTCCGAATGTCAGGTATGGTTTGTGCCATTAATTTTACTGGGAATTTGTACAAAATGTTGGGGTTTTTTCTCCCTCTTTTTGAATTGCATATTGGGAACATTTAGACCAAGATCAGAAAGTAATTCCAACACCAAAATCCCTTTGCAAGTAAGGAATATGAGGATGATAATTGTCTCTGAAAGATCTAGTGCTTAATAATTCCCTTTCCTTTCCTTTCCTTTCCTTTCCTTTCCTTTCCTTTCCTTTCCTTTCCTTTCCTTTCCTTTCCTTTCCTTTCCTTTCCTACTTTCCTTTCCTTTCCTTTCCTTTCCTTTCCTTTCCTTTCCTTTCCTTTCCTTTCCTTTCCTTTCCTTTCCTTTCCTTTCCTTTCCTTTCCTTTCCCTTATTCCCTTTCTTGTCCTTCCCTCTCCTTTCCTTATTTCCTTAACATTTCCTCCTTTCCTCATGAAGGGGAGAGGAAATTCCTGTTCTCACATGGACTCAAGGCAGTGCCTTTTCCAGCATTTTTGAGGCATCTGTCACTATTTAGGGCATTTTAATTTTGTAGGAAATGGCAGAACCTCACGCCCAACATATATGATGTTACATACATGGCATGAGCCCTCTTTTTCCACGAGTGATGATACCTAACAGCCATGGCACTGGAATTCCAGGGAGGATCAGCTTCTCCATGGCTTAACTGGGCTGCCATTCCCAAGTCCACAGCTGCCTCTGCTGTGGGTTAAACACAGCTGTGAATCCGCCCCTTCCCGACAGATCTATTTAAATAAACAGAACCTTTCCCATATTTTTTGGTGGAGCATCTTCTCCTGAATACTGGGCACAGGGGAAAAAAAAAATCACAGGGTTGGTGGGTTTTGTCCTCCAGTTCCCTGGAGAAGGATGATGTTGAGGGTGGAGAGGAGAGACTCCAGGACCCACCGCTTTGCTGCCTCGCTCCATGTTTGTCTTTCCAGTTTCTCTTCCTCTCAGGTCTCAGCCCTTTCCTTGGATCCATGTTGGTTTAATTCAGTAATATTGGAAAAATGCTCTGAGACCTTCTAGTGGAAGTCAGAGAGATGAATTATAATTAGCACAGAAATTGGCAGACTTAGCGGGGGAAAAATGTGAAGGAATGTTTGATTTTCGTGGCGCTCAGTAAGATTTGGGGTAAAGACTTGTCTCTGTATTAGAGAGCTTTAACCTCCACCTGGGATTAAAATAGTCCCTCTCTCCTCTGTGATGAAAATACGCTTTCTTCAGCTTATAGCCCCATCGTTTTTCACCTCACCTCGAAATAAATGAGCTCTCCTCACCAGTGGAGAGGTGGATGAAGCAGATGGTGAAAGAGGGAGGTCCCACTTAGGGTGTCATGGTCCTGCTCCTTACCTGGGATGGGCTCTGCAGCTTCTTAGGTGGCTTCATGAGCATCTTCAGGATGCTATTCCTGCTGGGACCAGGCTCAACAGGAAAGGAAGGGGCACAAGGAGCTGGAGAGTTTTCAGCTGGGTCGGGGGAGGTTGTGGGAGGGTCTGATGAGCAACAGAGCTGGCACGAGGGAGGGAACAGATTGCCTGAGCCTGGGAAGGGGGGCAGGATCTCCCCCTTTCCATGGCAGGAATCCACTGGGTCAGCTCAGTCAGCACCACCAGGGCAGGATCTGGCTCCTCCAGGTGCCAATGGAGCAGGTCCTGCTCTGAGCTCCCATCCCTGTGCTCTGCTGATGTGAGGTGGGGCTGCCTCGTCCAGCTCAACAACACGACGCCCTCTCAAGTTCCAACAGGCCCAGAGTGGGTTTGCTGGAGTCACCTTTTCCATCTAGATGGCTGGAGTTTTAGGGAAACCCTTAGAACCCGAGAAAAGCAAATAAAGGATGGGAAGGAGATGGGACAGAGATCAGGAGGATGCTCCCAGTTGTTGTAGGTCTGAGATGTCCCCGTGGTGGGGTGGAGGTGGTGAAGTGAGAGCAGCTCGTGGCTTCTTCCCTAAACTGAGACATGTCTTAGGTGGGATTTTTTTTCCATCCCAAAATCACTTATTAAAACTCATTAAACCTCTTTTTTCTCAACAGGTTACATTCCCTTTGGAACACCCATCGTAAGTATTTTAACATCTCTCCCCACTTTGTTTGTGAGCACCAAGAAATGCATTTTTTAGCACAATTCTCCACATTCCACCTTCTCACCTCGTGAAATGTTCCCACAGGATTCCCACCTTTCCCACTTAATGTTAACAAGGGTTTAATCATGTAAAACCCACCCTCTGGTTGAGGTTCTGTATCTATTAATATATTGATTTTATCTATCTATTGTATGTGAGATTATTTATCTATTAACCCAACCTCTGCTTGAGGTTATTTATCTATTATGAGATTATTTATCTATTAATATATTAAATTTATTTATCTATTATACATGAGGTTATTTATCTCTTAACCCAACCTCTGCTTCAGATTCTTTATCTATTAATATATTGAGATTATTTTTCTATTATGTATGAGGTTATTTATCTATTAACCCAACCTCTGCTTGAGGCTCTTTATCTATTAATATTTTCAGGTTATTTATCTATTCTGTGTCAGGTTATTTATCTCTTAACCCAACCTCTGCTTGAGGTTCTTGATCTATTCAACATCGTTCCCCCAGCCTCCTCCAACGTCTTCATCTTTCCCTCTGGAAAGGGAAGACCAAGCTGAGCTCATCGCCTGCAAAATGCAACTTCTGCAACTCTCAGCTCTCAGCTTTGGACACTTTTATTTCACATTTACATGATTTACAAGTCTCTTCCCAAACGTGACGAGCTCCAGCACGGCGGGGCCGGCGTCGTGCGCTCCCGTCTTGATTAATTAAATCCCTGAGCGTTTTCCTGGGGTTATTCCTGAGGGTGTTGGGAGTTTGTACTTGTTATTGTGAGATTTGTTAAGCCTTCGGGTGCTCTCGATAGCAAAAGCCAGAAGGGAGATAATTCTGCCTGTTTTCCTCCTGCTGAAACCTCAGCTGGTCTTCGGGAACAGGAACGGTTCATCAACCCCGTTTTTGTGGGAACGGGGAAACTGAGGCCCAGAGTTTTGCCCCAAAATTTGGTGTCAGGAGGTGGTTGATCCTCAAAGCCACCAGCTCGTGGTTCAGCTTTTTGGATCACTCATTAAAATGGTTCAAAGAGGAAAATACACTAAATTTAATCTTCTTAGACCCAGTGGACCGTGGCTTAGACTGGGTTAAAGGTAACAACCTCTTCCCAAAGGGTGTTAACAAGATTGGAAGTCCTAAAAACAGGGACCATCGTGGCTGTCGCTATTTGTTGTGGTGCCTAAAGGTTTGGTGGCAACTTTGTGTGGGGCATTTTAAAAGAAAAGGTTAAACAAAAATGAGTTAACGATCAAATTGACAATGAAATCGGCCCAAATCCAGAGCTGTCAGAGGAGCCGAGAGCTGTCAGATGAGCCCAATTTCACTATCTGAAAAGGATAAACTGGAACCTCTTTTCATTTAAAAAAAAAAAAAAAAAAAAAAAAAAAAGAAGAAGAAGAAGAAGAAGGAAAAAAAATAAAAAAAACCCAAACGTTTCAAATGTTAAAATTAAAATGTAACATTTATGCCAATCGATCTGTGAAATTTAGTGACAAAATTGGCAGCCTGCTCCGGCATAAAAACAGTTTGAGTCTTGTATTTCACATAGGGGGGGATGGGATTTCCTCAAGAGAGGCTGTGCCGGGCTCGGGCTGAGCCAGCCTGGCCGTCCTTGCCCGCAGAGCCCTGCTGGTGTTGGGGGTCAACGAAACCCCCCCCGTGGAGACGTGCTCGGGGTGTGTATGAGCAGGTTTAGGGCCCATCAGTCAATACACTCTGCTGGCTGTGCCCGGGGAGGGGTTATTTCCAAACCCCCCCCCCCCCCCCCCCCCCCCCGGTTAGCCGATGCAAAATAATTCAGTCTGGTTGAGCTCATTGTGAAAGAGATTAAGGGCTTGTTAAAATAATCGTTTCTTTTCTGGCCCCGGCGGCGGCTCCCCTGACACATCCAAATCCTGTTTGCTCTTCCCTCGGTTACAACTGTTTGCTTTTCCCTTCAGCCTCCATCCTTTCTGTGCCAGGTTTCAGGGATTGACCCCGGGATCACTTGTGGGGACAGGATGGGATGTAAATGTAGGGAGAGTTTGGCTTTAACCCATTTTGCCCATTTTCAGCCCGGGAGGGAGCAAATCCAGCCACTGGAATTATCTCCCTGTGCTGGAGGGGTGAGAGGTGTAAAGCAGCTGCTGGGCTGGAGCCTTTTACCCAGCCTTTTACCCTGGGTTTGTGTTTCCTCCTCCGAGGGGAGGAAGATTTCTCCGGGTTTAGGAAATTCAGCCTCAAACCCGGGCGGTGAAGAGGGAGCAGACGCCCCAGCTGTGCTCAGCTGCCACTCACAGCTTTCAGCTCCCTTATTTTCCCCATCCATTTAAAACCGGGACGGTCTTGATGAGGTTTTAAGGTGCCCTTGAAGACCCAGGTTAATTTAGGGGTGAGATGACTCTTGGATTTGGGGTTTGGAATAGAAGAGCTTGGGCTGCTCAGAGCTGACAGATGTCCAAGCAGTGGCTTTGGCCCTGGCTTTGGGGCCATAAAGGGACGTTCACACCTGATCACCAATTAAATTTCGTGGCTGATACTTCTCTAGTGTTTAGAACCTTTCTTTTTTTTTTTTTTTTCCTCCCATGTATTTTGTTTTCCTTCTTAGTTATTTTTTCCCCTGACAGTAATTAAAAGTGAAATTGTACATTTCTTGACAGACTCTTGCACATATGGAGAGTTTGCATTTAAACGTGCCTCTTTCAGTCATACAGATTTTGGGTGCTCTTTTTTTTTATTTATTTATTTTCCTTCCCGTATTATTTTTTTTATTTTTATTTTTTTTTTCCCTTTCCTTTCCCCCCACCCCCACCCCCTCGGCTCTCAGCCTTCAGCTTGACAATGTGAGTCCCTGCCTGCCGTCTTCCCGCTCCTCCGGAGCCTCATTATCCCGCTGGCTTTAGGGGGAAAGTCACTCCCGGGGGTGAGGAGGTTCCTCGCCTGTTGAATTCGTTTGGCTGCGAGCGGCGACGGAGTAATTAATGACGAGCTCTGGCCGCTGAATGGAAGCGGCAAATTAGTGTAACTCGCACAGGCTGGCGCCTGGCCAGCGCACAAAAAAGTAGCTGCAACTTCACCAAAGGCTGTGGGAGGAAAAGCTGGAGGAGGAGGAGGAGGAGGAGAAAAAAGGAGAGATGCGAACGAAATCAGGCCGCCCAACCCCGCTACCCTTTTGTTCGCTGGTATTTCTCCCTCCCGGAGGGGTTGAAGTTGCCTCCTCTTCAACTGATGCTGCTGCAGATGTGCCGAGGTGGCTCCAGCTCAGCCTTGCTCTCTCAGGGCTCTCCGGCGGGGAAGTTTTTCTTGCGGGGTTTTTTTGTTTTTTTTAGGAATAGGAGTGAAAGGGAAACGGTGGAGAAGATGGTCTGAGGGTGGGGATGAGCTCACAGCCTTCTTGCCCAGATGCCTCGGAGACGTGAGTGTCCTGAAAATAAATGTGTTTGGAATTAAGAGGAGTTGCTCAGTCTTTATGCTCCTTGCGATTTTGCGACAGTCTTCTTCAGAAAACAGCAGGCATTTAAGGCACAGGAGGGGATAAAATGACAGTGGTGTTAGGAAGCAGCTGATCTTACCTGTCTCTTACCCAAGGACTCGTCATCCCGTCCTCATTTGTTGGGTTTATCATTGGGAGTCCCTTTGCTTTGCACCCCTTTCCTCTCCTTCGACTTCTCGTGCTCTGAAAGAAAAAATTGCCATAGAATAGGGAAAAAGTGGCCATAAAGCAGGGGGAAATGCCATGAAACAGGAAAAACTGCCATGAAACAGGAAAAACTGCCATAAAACAAGGCAGTTTGTGTGTCACAGATGGGTCTTTAGTGGATTGCAGAGGGTGTGTCCATGTGGTGGAGTGAGACGCGTCCCAAGGACGTTCTGAGGACTTCTACAGGAAAAATACACTTGTGTGACCTCAGATGGGTGACCTGGCAAAGCCTGTGGCATCTCAATTCAGGCAGCAGCTGGGAACATCTGGCCAGATGTGCTGGGACAAGCTGCTGGAAGCCTCTGGGAGACGATGATCGTCACCCCGGGCTCGTAACCCAGGCAGGAGTTTTCACAGCTGAGGGTATGACACATCAACAAGGCTCTTAAAACAAAATCCAGGCTCCCAAACAGGAGCACATGTGCTTCCAGGTGGCATTCCTGTCCTCAGATGTTCAAATGGGATTTCTTTCCTGTGCTTCAAACAGGGAATGTGCCAAAGGAAAATCGGAAACCCTCTCCCCCGTTCGCTGCCAGTAGTGACAACTTTGAACTCTTGCCTTCAGGCAACGTTTGTGTTTTCCTCCAGAAATACCTGGATTAAGGAATTGATTGTATTTTAACGACCTGATCTTTGCTGCCAGAGTATTTTCAAGGTGTATTACAAGCAGTAATTAAAGATGCAAAGCTTTCATGGGCAGTTACATCACCGCTGGAAAACTGAGAGGCAAGAGGCTGATGGGAAGTTCAATAACTAAAATTAAATAAAGCCACAAATGAAGATGGATTTATTCAAGCTTAGAAATAAGCTTGGCTGTTTGCATGCCTGGAAGAGCACTGAGAGCAAAGCAAAAGAGCATTTACTGATGGGAAAATCTCTTCTCTTGCAGGTTGTTGGTCTCCTCTTGCCCAACCAGACGCTGGCATCCACTGTGTTTTGGCAGGTAGCACCTGCTGGGATGGGTGGGGAATGTAGGGGAGAGGAAAGTGGAATTTTGCCTGGAGGACAAACTGATGCACGTGGCTGTTCTGCTCTGGTCGTGGTTTAGGAAGAGGATGTGGCTGGATATAATTAGGGAAGGGTTTGGTAGGTCTGGGAGGGACCATAAACCAATATATGGGTCCGTTTTATCCCACAGCTGCTTTTGCCATCACAAAGGAAGTGGCAAAATGGTCCAAAATTTCATAATCAGCTTTTTGAACCCATTTGGTACAGGTGTAAATGTAAACAGAAAGAAAATTTTGACACGTCCGCTGATTTGTGGACACCCTGTCGTGTAGTTTGGATCTTCCCTGGTGAGCTCCCCTTGGAAGTGCAGGGCTAGGGGTGACAGGAGGCCCCATTCCCAGGAATTTTGGGAATAGCTGTGCATTGCAAAGCCAAGGACCTCTGCTTTCAGTTCGCTGCAGGAGCTTTGGGGAAAAAAATAGTCTGTGTGTAGGGAGGTGTTGGTGTAATTTCCCACTAAAATTCTGGGAATTAGGAGTAAGGGGAGGAGGTGTGCACGTGAATGAGTTATATCCATAGTAAACACGCCACTTCAGTGCGATTTCAGCACTCACTGAGACGGAGGAACAAGTTATTTTCAGCCTTATTTTCGGTGGTGAATGTCTTTTTATTGTCTGCAGTGTAAGTGACGATAGGGAATTATGCAGTTGAGGAACATCAGAGCAGAGTGGGATCTGCCTGGTGTGTTAAAAGCACGGCAGAGCCGAGAATCTGTCGGAAGGTGCTGGTAACTTGTGGTCGGGTGGGTTTAGCTGGAGGTTGTGCCCTGTGGCTTCACCTGCTGGGAGTGGGAGAGTGGCTGGGGGAGACATCCTGGCTCCTCCAGGTTTTTGCAGGCAGCTCCTCCCACCTGTTTTTAGACATTTGTGTTGGAATCACAGAATGGTTTGGGTTGGAAGGGACCTCAAAGACCATCTCATTCCACCCCCCTGCCGTGGGCAGGGACACCTTCCACTAGCCCAGGTTGCTCCAGGCCCTGTCCAACCTGGCCTTGGACACTTCCAGGGACCCAGGGGCAGCCACAGCTTCTCTGTTCCAGTGCCACTTTAATGCCATCTGTATCCATAAGCTGGTAGAGCTGCTCATCTCCTGTTCCTCACCTGAAGCCTCCCATGACCCTCTGTGTGAGAAACTTGGAGCTCCATAAGTGACTGATGAAACGGCTGCTGGGCTTCCTGCTACGTCCCAACAGCAGGATGGATTTGATGCTTGGACATCGGGAAGAATTTCTTCACAGGAAGGGTGATTAGACATTAGAATGGGCTGCCCAAGGAGGTGGTGGAATCCCCATCCCTGGAGGTGTCCAAGGAACAACTGGACGTGGCACTCAGTGCTCTGGGCTGGGTGACAGGGTGGTGATGGGTCACAGGTTGGACTCGATGATCCCAGAGGTTCTTTTCCAACCCAAATGATTCTGTGATTTTGTGAAAATAAAGATCAGTAGCACTGAGGTGTCACTGGAGGTGGACTGGGCCAGGAGAGGAGTTGCACATCAAGCTCCCAGGAGAGCAGAGCTGCCCTCTGGGCACTGAGAGATTCCTGCCCCTCACTTTGAAGGCCATTAAACCACACACAGACCATCCGCAAACCTTCGTCACCAGGGAGGTGAATTTTCCCCCTAGAACTCCCACATTTATAGAAGGTCCATTTGTTTTCCTGAAGTCCTGCTGATGCCTGTCTCTCCTTGTTCCCTCTCTAGTGGTTGAATCAGAGCCACAACGCCTGCGTCAACTATGCAAACCGCAACGCGACAAAGGTGAGGAGACCCAACATATGTGGCGCGTCGGGGCTGTTTTGACACGGCAACAGAAGCCCTGTCTCTTCCCTGTTAATGGAAACTCCGTGAGGAATTTATAGCTTGGCCATTCTCCTGTGTAGGCTCCCAGTTTAACCCCTCAGCTGGAAGCAGCACGAGGGTCTCGGCGTCACTCGGTGCCTCCGAGCTCAGCCAGGTCGTGGTTCAGGCTGGGGTGGGATGGTTTAATTGGTATGCAAATGAGCACAGAGCAAAGTGGTGTTGGGGGTTTTTGGGACAGGACAAGGTGTCTCCGTGAGCACGCTGCCGGCTCCCGAGGGCCTCGTCTGCGCTGCCGGGAAGTGGCGGGGCTGCTCCCACTCTCCTCCTTCTCCCTTAGCCTTCATTCATCCCGTGTCAGGATGTGGGAAGCCAAGCTGGAAACCGTCCAGCTCGTCGAGATAACATTTCAGAGACAAAATATTTAATGTGGCGAGTTTGGGGTTCAGCACTAGAGGGTAAAAATGCTAATTTGGTACCATTTGCTGAATTTCATTCCCGTCCTCCCTTTGAGCTGCTATTATTATAATTTTCTGATGCCAATTAATTTTCCATTCCCTTTAACCTCGCTCATGGGGCCACGGTTTCCCTCGCTCTTGCCTCTCTGCTTGCTGACAGACCGTGTGTCACAGAACAATATGACAAAATTCAACCTGTCTGTGCTTTAAAACAAATAAAACCAGAACAAACAAACAAACCAACCAAAAAAAAAAACAAAAAACCAAACAACCCCGAAAAAACTTGGTTGCATTTTAATAACCAGAAGTTTGTTTACTGAAAATATGTTTTGTTTTTTCTTTCCAAAGCCTTCTCCGACATCCAAGTTCATCCAGGGCTACTTGGGAGCTGTCATAAGTGCTGTCTCAATAGCAGTGGGTAACGCTTTATATCTCTTTATTTCGTGACTTGCGGCGGCGCCGCGGTGCTTTGGAGATGCTTGTTTGGGTTGCCAAGCATGTTTTTGCCTTTTAATTGACAGAATTCAGCCCTCATAACCAGAAATATTGTAACCCTGAGGTGTGTCTGTCCGTGCATGCCAAAGCTTTTCCCCGGAGGGAGACTTCTAAGTGCTTCCAGAACTCCCTGCGCCGTGGCTTTGCTGCCCCGTGAACTCAAATTATCAAATTATCCATTAACTGGGGGTGAATTTACCTGTTCCAAATTGAAATGGACACTTTGAGGCTGCAGGGTGATGGTGTGGCAGCTGAGGTGCTGAAGAGAGGCAGGACTCTGGAGATGTTCTCCTGCTGGGTTGGCACCTCGATCCACAGTGCTCGGAATTGCATCTTTTGCCTGTGGACATTTTTCAAGCTGGAAACGGTGCTCAGATCTTATTATGGAATCATGGGATGGTTTGAGTTGGAAGGGACCTTAAAGATCATCCAGTCTCACCCTCCTGCCATGGGCAGGGACACCTTCCACTAGACCAGGTTGCTCCAACCTGGCCTTGGACACTTCCAGGGATCCAGGGGCAGCCACAGCTTCTCTGCCCAACCTGGGCCAGGGCCTCTCCACCCTCCCAACCAACAATTCCTTCCCAATATCCCATCTATCCCTGCCCTCTGGCACTGGGAAGCCATTCCCTGTGTCCTGTCCCTCCATGCCTTGTCCCCAGTCCCTCTCCAGCTCTCCTGGAGCCCCTTTAGGCCCTGCCAGGGGCTCTCAGCTCTCCCTGGAGCCTTCTCTTCTCCAGGGGAACCCCCCCAGCTCTCCCAGCCTGGCTCCAGAGCAGAGGAGCTCCAGCCCTTGGAACAGCTCCGTGGCCTCCTCTAAAGTCATATCTGAAGTAACCTGTTAGGAGAGGAGCTTTTAACATCACTAAAATCATTGTCTCTTGACTTTTAACACTCCTATTTCCCAGTAGCACAAGTTGACATTGGTAGCAGGGTCAGCTCACTCCCAAAGGGACAGGGACCTTTCTCAGGAGCAACTCATGGAAGTTATTTCTTACATCGGGTTTTCAAATAAGCCTCTGAAGTAAAAGGTTGTACCTTTCCTGCTGGAACATTAAGGATCCCACAGCAAACACCAAAAAGTGATATTTTTCCCCCCTGTCTGAGATTTTTTCCTTTTTCTTAAGCCACAGAAAATTTGATTTTGCTTCTTGCACAGCTGCCAGACAACTTTGCAAAGGGTGTAGAGTTGTTGAAGTGCCTTGAGGTTTTGAGGGGGAACTGTCCATTTGATTGGATACACATCTGCTGGATAGTTTTCCGTGTTTCTGGCTTGGCCTGCTCTGTGTCCCCCCTGTTACCCCTTCACTGCAGAATTAACCCTGCACAGCCCAGCCTGGCGTCGGTGTGAGCTCCCACACTTCATAACCCCACGGAGCTGTTCCCACGCCAATCCACGCTTTTCCAGCTGAAGTATAATCCAAATCCCCATCCCACCAACCTCAGCGCTGTGTTTTCCATCCACAGCTTCCATGGGAGACCTTGAGTGTCCTCCTCAGTCCTTAGTTCAGCATTTTCCCACCCTGTGAATTACTAAAGCGAAGTTCTCCGGCTTGACACGCTGCTGCCACTCACAACCTGCCTCCCAACCCCCAGCACGGCTCCAGGGATGAAAATTCCACATTGTTGGCATTAATGCTCCTCTCCATTTCAGCAACAGGGGCAGATTAGAGGGGCAGGAGACCCGGAGGAGTCGTGTTGGCAGAGTTTTGGCACCCTGAGGAGCTTTGGTAAGGAAACCACTGAGAGGTGTCCGTGTTGGGACAGCTGGTGCAGGTCTTGGAAATCTTTGGTTCCTCCAAGGCTGACTCAGATCCTGCAAAGAAGTTGGAGCAGAACAACGTGTTCAAAGTGCAGGGGGGACCATCAGTGGTGCTGTGAGAAACATTCATGTTGAAAGCAGAGTGAAAAGCTCCCCTGAGACATGCAGATGATAAAATTGCAGCATTTCAGCCTCATGCAAGGGGAAATCCTCCTGCCAGAGGGTGTTTTTGCCTTCTTGCAAGTGCCACCATTGTGCCACCAGATCCACTGGAATTCCCTTGGTGAGTGTGAAGAGCTCTGGGGGTCAGAATATTGTTACAGGGAGGCAGGAGCTTTCCACAGATCCATGGATGTAGCTGAGGGGGG